AAAAGACCCTGATGTTGGGAAAGTGTGAAGGCAAGAGGAGAAGGGGACGACAGAGGACAAGATGGCTGGACAGTGTCACTGAAGCAACAAACATGAATTTGACCAAATTCTGGGAGGTAGTGGAAGACAGAAGGGCCTGGCGTGCTCTGGTCCACGAGGTCACGAAGAGTCGTACATGACTTAACAACTGAACAACAACAAAAATCATATAGTTTCTGATATATTTAATTTTTTATGTCAAAATAACTTTATGCAACAATCCACATATGAAAATTGGAAGAGACCCTTTTAATAGAATATATGGCTTCATATGATTATTTTTACCTCAAAGTAAGTGTTCATGTTGACAAATTTCTCTAAATTCTTTGGCAAAAAGTTCAATTATGATTCCCCGGCTTGTCTGAAATGGCAATATCACAATCCACATATGAAAATTGGAAGAGACCCTTTTAATAGAATATATGGCTTCATAGGATTATTTTTACCTCAAAGTAAGTGTTCATGTTGACAAATTTCTCTAAATTCTTTGGCAAAAAGTTTAATTATGATTTCCCGGCTTGTCTGAAATGCCAATATCTAATTTAATAATGTTTTGGTATTTAAACATGGTGCTGCAGCTCTGAGCACCTTAGCATCTCCTCTGTCTTTGGAAATGTTCACTGAACCAGCACAATTCAGCCCGATTTCAGCTGTTCATTTGAATAGGATATGTTAAGCATTTTAACCTATTAAATTAAACAGAACCTCAAAGTGATTAATTCTGGCTAGATTATGATTTTTTCCTTATTTGCTCTCAAGTATGGATATATATTTATATCAATCATATATCACAACCATCTTCTAAATAATCTGAAACACAATAGCAACAATCATTTAGAAACAATGACAGAGTTCAAATCAAGTCAGTGCAGGATGAAATTAAATACTTAAATAAATCACAATATGTTTTATGTATTTTAATAGCATTTGTACATTTAAGCTTAATTAGCTATATCAAAGCATGTAATTAACTACTTCTTGCTTTTCGCAAAATTCTGCGCTTCTTTCAGAAGTGTGTCAAAATCTTCATTATCCTGGTCTTCAATGTCTGGATCCCAGTCAGAATCTTCATCAGTTGAGTCACACTTTTCGCTCTCTTCATGATCTAGAAAGCTGTCACTAGGATTGCATCCGTCGGACTCATCATCATGAGCATTTTTATCTGAGAAAGCCCATCTCCCTGAGGAGCAAAAAAAAATTTAAGGAAATTCAAAATCGGAATTTTAATTAATACACAACCATGATATGACCACTACAGAATGTGTCTTATATTACTTGCTTTTTGATCTTCTATATACAAACGATTTAAACATGGCTTTGTTAATAGCAAATATGGATTGAACAGATGGGTCCAGATTAAATGTTAATATTAATGATGGCTTAAAATGTTGAAAGTGGCCTCCTCAACCTAATTATAAACTAAGCCCATGCTTCCACTGAAGTCTGGATTCTTCTAATACTAAGCTCACAACAGCACCAACTGATTTGTTGTCAAAACTCCCTGTTATCGGCCTCCATGCTTTGCTAAAATTTACCCTTGTGAAAGTATAGTGAAGACAGGGCTTGTGACAGTATTTAAGGCTTAGAGTAAGACTGCAACAGCACCAACTGATTCGTCAAAATTCCCTGTTATCGGCCTCCATGCTTGCTAAAATTTACCCTTGTGAAAGTATAGTGAAGACAGGGCTTGTGACAGTATTTAAGGCTTAGAGTAAGACTAAAGAAGCACCCACTCAGTCAGATGACATCCAGGGATGTGATTCTACTCAAAAGTCCTGACTCTCCAATGCCCAGCTTTCCAATTAGAAGTATAAGTGGATCAGGCCAAACAGAAATCTCAATGTTATTGCCAACTAGCATTTATAGATAACACAACAATCCCTCCTCAACATTCCACCCAGCTGCACACATGGCAAGAACATCCATTAATGCCAAAGAATCTGAGCAAGGGAGTTTCCCATGCTTTTTGATTCTAGAGGTTAGCCATTGGAAACTTGAGAGCTTTGCAAATGGAATTAAAAGTAGATGAGTATCTGTACCTACATGAGTCTAGATCATTCAAGCTTTAAAGAGAAAGGATCTGCTGGCTTTCAAACAGTAAATTTGGGGAATGGCAAGGGCTTGTGGGATACCAATATTATAACCACACGGGAAACTCAAAGTAATGCCCCCACATCCCCATGTTTTTCCAAAATAAAACTAAGGTTGGACATCTAGTACTATCAGCACAAGAAATGCATAATAAAAAATTCCACAATTCCTTTATCTGGCAAAGGTGTGGGTTTCTAGGGTTTTATACACCTTGCTGACCATTTTAAAAATCTGCAATAATTGCTAGTATTTCCTACTTTGCCTCTGTCTGATTTACTCAGACGGAAACAGACAACATGAACGACATAGTAAACAGTAATACATAGAAATGATGTTAATCTAGTGATTGACCTTTAATGTTAACAAGTATTAACATTAGAGATGGGCACTTACCACAGTTTGGCAGTTCAACGTGGTTCGGCCAATTGCGCCCACAGGATTTTCTGCAGGAACCCCGGACTCCATGCCCTGCCTCCTCCTGTGGGTACCCACTAGGAGGTGGCAGGCCAGGCCAGGCCGCAGCACTGCTTCTGATGCAGTGGACACAGGAGGATGGAATCTGGGGCACCTGCATGAAATCCTGTGGGCCCAATTGGCCAAATCAGGGTGTGTGCCCATTTCTGGTTAACATCCTCTGAGGACAGCCTTTCAAAAATTATCAATGACTTTTGAAAGATTTTTCTCATCTCAAGTAGCAAAATTAGTTTTAGCCAAAGTATATTTTAAAAGTCTGCGGATAGAGTTCACTAAAGTGTTTGTGAGACAGAAGCTGTATCAGTATGATATACAAATATACCAGTTTCTAAAAGATCGTCCTTGTATTAAGACCTTCCCTTAAATACATTTTCTCCTATTTTGTTAAGAAATGTCTAGTATGATACACTTACTAAAGCTCAATTATATTTAATTTACTGTATTTGGTTGTGTCAGAAGGAAGGCAGTGTTAGGGACTATATTCAAAGCTTAAATGTCCATGTGGTTTTAAAGCCTGTGAAAGACCTTACACATGTTATATTCTGTACCACACAGTAAGACAAGAATATGTGAACCAGATGCTAGAGAGAAAGTATGACCCCTAAAATTGGTGCATCAACAAATAGAAAAATTAGCTTGAATGAACAGTAGGATCCCCTATCCATGGATCAATATCCACTGATTCACTTATCCAGTCTGAAACTATTAAAAATATTGAAAGAAAAAAATCCAGAAAAAAACTATTTTCGCATGTATTACTAGAACTGGCCACTAGAGAGAGCCAGAGATTGTTCTGTAAACACGTTAGTGAAGAACACATAGCATGGTTTCTGACTCCCTCTAGTGGCTAGTTCTGGTAATGCATGTGAAAATATATACAGTGGTGCCTCGCTTAGTGAGCACTTCATTTTACGACGAAATCGCTTTCCGACGAACTTTTTGCGATGTTCCCTACGGGGGAATTTCGCTTTGTGATGATCGGTTCTCTGCTTTGGGAACGATCATCGCAAAGCGACGATTTTAAAACAGCTGATCGGAGGTTTCAAAATGGCCGCTGGGTAAACAAAATGGCCACCCGCTCTTTTCTGGGACGAATTCCCCGTTCTACAGCCACCGAATATGGCCGCGCTATGGAGGATCTGCGCTGAACTGTGAATTTGAAGCCCCTAGGAACACATTAATCAGGTTTTAATGTGTTTCTATGGGATTTTTAATATCGTATTGCGACGTTTTCGTTCAACAGCGATTTCACTGGAACGAATTAACGTCGCAATGCGAGGCACCACTGTATATTTCTGTTTTTTCCCCTTTTACCATGCTGTCCATCCATCCATCCATCCAGTATTTGCTATTATCCATGGTTTTCAGTATCCATGACGGGGCTTGGAACCAATTCCAGCAGATATGCGGGTCCTACTGTACACTTAAGTTTCAACCTAAATGACAAGAAATATAGTAGAAATCAGTTTCCCCCTCTATCCTGTACAGGATAGCACAAACCTACACAATAGTGAGATCAAACAGTGGTTTTGCAATGTGATCTTTATAGGCATGCAAAAGGATTAGAATTGTCTATGCTTAAGCAATTCTACTGAAGCCCATATGCAGTGAAGATTGAACCTATCAGAGTTTCAACCTAAATGACAAGAAATATAGTAGAAATCAGTTTCCCCCTCTATCCTGTACAGGATAGCACAAACCTACACAATAGTGAGATCAAACAGTGGTTTTGCAATGTGATCTTTATAGGCATGCAAAAGGATTAGAATTGTCTATGCTTAAGCAATTCTACTGAAGCCCATATGCAGTGAAGATTGAACCTATCAGACTAGACATCCTGTCTATGCTTAAGCAATTCTACCGATGGTATTGAAGTCCATATGCAGTGAAGATTGAACCTATCAGACTAGACATCCTATATAAAAACAGAAAACTGATTTGTACGAGTGCTGCCAGTGTATTATCTCTCTTTTTATATCCACACTGCTGGTAAGGAAATGAAGCTATTATAGTTAATACAGAGGTACCTACCATGGAAATGGTTCAGCTAGAGTCCCACCAGGACAAGACTCTAACTGGACCATCTGGAAGTCACTTAATAGACTTCGAAGCGGTGAAAAAACAATCAAGGATAATGGGGCTACTTGGATATAGAACAAATGTTCTGTGACTATGCAGAAATTCAATCAATGCAAGACTTAAGCGTATGCAATTTATGTCCCACCACATGTACAAATGATCTAGGAAACAGCCAAGATAATGCTATTGAAGTAGCCTGCTTCTGGTCAAAAATAGTCTAATAATCTTAACATTTTAATTTGTTTTAATTTTACATGTCTATAATTTTAGGTTCTGCAACACACTGATATGAAAAAAGAAAAGAAGAAAGACGATACAAATGGGCCCTTGGGCTCTTTCGTGGAAACCACTTTCGTGCCAGAAATTCTCACATGAAAATTCTTTCTCCAGTGTTCCTAGGAAGGGCTTTTTCTGTTTTCTATAACCTGTATACAGAATGCAAAATTACGGTAGCAGGACTGCTGATACCTATAAGCAAGCTAAGACAGTCCTTCCAGTTTTAATTGTAACAATGAGCTTCAAAAGAAGAAAAAAAGCAAAAGAAGAAAAAAAGACTGTTAAGCTCCAGCTGCTCTCCTGCTTCTTGCTTTCACATATCTGTTTTTAGAATACATTTTAAAGCCATCAGATCCTTATAGAAATGAAACAACTAGCAATCTTCTCTGTTATAATTACAGTAATAGTTTTAAAGACTAACCAAGACAAAGGGGTCAAGTAGACATGGTCTATTTGTATTCATATCCCTGAGGATACAAAAACAAATCATGGCACTATAGGTGCCATGGAGCCCCATTCCCTTCCTTCAGAACAAGGCAATCCACTCACCATTTGCCACACAGTGCTCAGCTCTATCGTCGCCATCGTGCCAATTGCAGAAGGAGCCTGACCAGCCCTTTCCCACCTCCCCATGCAGCTGACTACGGCGGCATGGAGGCAGGATGTGAAGTCTACTCACTCAGCCAACGTGTTCAGATGGGGAAAAGCTGGCCAGGCTTCTTCCGCAATTTGTGTGACGACACAGCCAAACAGTGAGTGGACCGGACAGTTCTGGGGGGAAGGAATGGGCATCTGTGGCACCTGTGGTGCTGCAATTCATATTCATATCCCCAGGGATACCAATACAGGTAGCCCATGTCTAATGTCTAGCCAGCCCTCTTATTTTGCACAGGTAGTGTATCATCATGTGCCATCAAATAATCATGTGCCATCAAAATTCTGACTTCTGGCTACCCTTTTTATGATTTTCCAGGTAGAGAATGCTCAAAAATGGTTTACTGTTCTCTCCTTCTGGAGGCATCCTGGAACTGTGCAGCTTGCCCAAGTCCACACAGGAGACACAGTGGGGAATTGAACTCCCAGTCTCCAGCTCCACAGGCAGATTACCTAAACAACCGAACTATCCAGCCAGCCTCATAAGGAAATAGGGGATTTTATTTGTGGTGTGCCAAGCAGCATGCAAGAAATAAAAATGAAACCCTACGGAATTTTGAGACAAGATAGATGAAATAATCAATGCTGACCTTTAAAGAGGCTTTCACCCTGAGGAATAGCTGAAAGAACCAATACTTGGGTTTGGAAAGATTAGCGTCACTACAGAACTTGAACTGCCACTGACTTATATTGTGGGTAGGAAATCCTAATCCTAAAAATGTCAGGTTATATCCTACTGCACTCAAGGCAACAACTTGGCACTCAGTAACTGACTATACCAAGAGACCCATGTGCTCTCATAATCCTCCAGTTAGCATCTTAAACTCACCAAACATCTATCCAGGGACAAGCAGAAAGAAGCTGTTCATCCTTCTTGTTTGCCCAGAACAACTCTTCCAACAGATGCTCTGGATTCTGGTTTAGTAAGTCTATAATTGGTCTTGAGCCCCTCAATTCAGTGTGTTGTTGAGTGCTCTTATTACCATCCATGCTATCCAGAGCCCTGCTCTCTCCTTCTCATCACACACCTTCAACCTCACAATGGTACTATAGCGATCACCCTGCTTTGGCTTAGGTAGATTATTAGCATGTACCATGAGAGCTGGTGGGAGGCAGAGCCAGAGAAGCATGTACCAATGAGAGCTGGTGGGAGGCAGAGCCAGAGAAGCTAGAAGGGAGGGGTGAGTCAGAGTCTAGTCAGTTCAGTCAGAGAGACAGAGAAGAGAGAAAGAGTTTTGAGGGTTTGAGGCAGAGAGAAGGTGTTTAACGAGTGATTAGTCAGAGTGTGACCTGTATTAATTAAGATAGAAGAGATTAAAGTAAATTTTATTTATTTATTATTAGATTTTTATCCTGCCCTTCTAGACAGGCGTCTACTAAGGGTGGCTCACAATATATTGTGCACAAAACAGGTTTAAAAACAACAATTAAAATCTACAATAATAATATAATCAAGATGGGAAGGTAACAAAAAACAAGAAAAGTAGAAATCAAGTATTGGCAGGAGGGAAGGCCTGCCTGAAGAGCCAAGTTTTTAAAATACTGAAGCTTTGTGTAACTTTAAGAATGTGCTTAAGAACTGGTTCTGTTTAAAAGTTCAGTACTGTATGGAACTCAGTCTTTCATAGGAAATAACGGTTGATAAAGAGATCAACCCGTGGCAGCGTGTTAAAGGGCATATTGGAATACTCAGGTGAGCTCTTTGTTTGGTGAAACAAGCAGGGGCCATGGGGTAAATGTCACAATTGGTGTTCAGCGGTGGGATATGAAATAATCCAGTGAAGCCAAGGTTTAAAACTGAATTTTCTGGAGTCATGAGTACTTTTTAGTCAGAGGTCTGTGGTAAAGAAGTGGGTGACCTGCTAGAGCTTTTGTGGAAAAGTTTACTGGCGGGGCTTCTGAACCCAGATCTGGGGGAACTAAAGATAGGGAGCTGACTCTAAAGGAAAAATTCTTTTTTTGTTTACCTCAGGATTTGAGAGACCCAGTGGGCCAGCTTGAAATCCAAGGCTCTGAGAGATAAGGGAGCAGTGCTGGATAGAGTGGAAGCCAAGATCAGAGCAGACCTGAGGTGGTAGGAAAATAAAAGCAGAGGCTTGAAAATAAAATTATTTTGGTATCTAAGAGGAAGAATAGCTCAGACACAGAGACACAGTACCTAAAAGGTTGTTAGCTGGAGGACAGCCAGAGATAGCTGCTAAGTGAAGCACAACAACATAGTGGAATTAACAGCAGAAAGACAGGTTCTTTAAAAAAGCAGTACAGACATTAAAGACTAATTCACTCAGACTTAAACATACCACCCAAACGTAGCCAAAAAGGGAGTCAAGAGGCAAAAGTTTACCTCAGAAAGTGGAGGGAAATGGAGCCTCAGAAAATCTAGTGGAACAGGAGGAGACTGATGAGGGTGCCTCAGAAAAACAAGGTGGGCAAAGCTCCCAGGATTTTGAAAAATGGAAGTTGGAACAGGAATTCAGGCTAAGAGCTAAGGAAATAGAAAAGGCGAGGGCTGAAGAAAGAGCTAGGGAACTAGAGCACAAGGAGAGTTGAGGCCAGACAAATGGAATTTCAAATAGAGATAAAAAATGGAATTAGCTGCTCAACAACAACAACAATTCTAGTGAGGGAAATCTCTCAAACATCGATCTAAAGAAATTTCCCCAATATAGGAAAGGAGATTGCCCGGTATCTTTCCTGATTTCATTTAAGAAAGTGTGCTGGGACTTTGAGATTAAGGATGATGAAAATATGAAAATGTTCACAAATAAGTGGAGATTTAGCTAAGCTTTATTCTCAGATGCCTCTGGAGCAAGCTAGAGATTTTGTGGCATATAGAAAAATACAGTGGTGCCTCACAAGACGATGTTAATTCGTTCCACGAAAATCTCTGCTTTGCGAAAACATCATCTTGCGAAATGTGGTTCCCCACTGGAATGCATTGAAAGCCATCCAATACATTCCAATGGGGAAAAATCATAGTCGTTTTGCAAAAATCGCCCATAGGAAAACCGTTTTGCGAAGTGCGGACCAGCTGTCAAAATCGCTATCTTGCAAAAAAAAAAGTTTCCAAAAATAACTTTTGTGAAGTGTGGATTCAGCTGTCAAAATCATCATCTTGCGAAAAATGATCCCGAAAAAAACAGTATTGCGAAGCACGGTCCCGAAACATTGTCCAGTGAAAACTGCACATAGGAAACACCGTTTTGCGAAGTGCTATAGCGATAGCAAAAACTCACCATCTAGCAAATAAACCATTTTGCAAGGTAATCGTCTACCGGGGCACCACTATATTCTAGATTTGGCATAAATGCAGAACATCTTAGAAGAAAATTTCATTCCCTTACCAAAAAGCCTGAAGAATCTTATGCCCAATTGGGGGCTAAATAGATTTAATGTTTGGACAAATGGATTGAACGTGAAAATGTCACTTCACCAGACCAAATGAAAAATGTAGTTGGTTTAGAACAATTTTATTCACTGTTCAGTGAACAACCTTCAGAACATAGCCAAAGAGCCCGAAAAACCCACAACTATTAGATCTCGGCCATGAAAGCCTTCGCAAATATATTTATTCAGTGTTACCATGGGAATTGCATTATTTGGTCAAGGACAAAAATCTTAAAAAATGTATTACAGGCATCTGAATTTGCTGATTCCATTAATGAGATCAGAGATCCTCAATTTTCTGAGGTAAAAATTGGTAGAAAAGTGTGGGACGATAGGAGAGGGCCCCCACCCAGTAGAGATTACCTCAGAAGTACCCAAGCTCCTGAAAGCCAGTTTAGAGACAAGCCTTCACCCACAGAGCAGAGTCACCTAAAAACTAATAGCTCTGAGGGAAAAGTTAACAAAGTCTTTTATTTTGAAGCCAAGACCAGTAAATAATTTTATGTGTTTGGGGCAAAAGGTTATTTTTCAGCTTAGTGTGAGACTCAAAATACTAGGGATTTTAATCAGCATAAAGGTGGAAATTCCAGTCAGCCTAAAAGGATATTTTGTGCGCAGCATAAGGCTCAGTAATCAGCAGTTGAAGTTGAGGCCTCTTCCCACCACAGCACTGTTGCTAAGGAAATGGACTTGGCACAGAGCCCAGACAGTCCAGAAGCAAGAGTGTTACAATGTTTCCTAATCAAGTGTAATCAGGATTTATTGAATAACTCTGCAGAGCCTATTTTCATTGACAATGTAAAGTATCTGGCTCTGAAAGATATCTCAGCCAGATTCTTTTACCTTCCAAGATGCATGTCTCCTAGTGGGCCCCATCACCAAGTAATTCTGATTCTATCATGACCAGACCTTATCTGCTCTATCTGCATTTAGACTGCCGTGCACTGATGCAATTCTAATCTCACAGACTAGCTCCTATACCCAGCCAGCTTGTAAATCCTCTGGGTTTGGTGAAAGAGGGTATCGTGTGGCATGAAGTCTTTATCTGTATACTGTACTTACATGCACATGGGCTTCCCATCTCCCAAAAGTTAAGTGGAACAACTGCACGTTCACTATATGAAATTCCACAATAGACTATCAGCCAGATTATCTGGGTATTCTAGGGTACCTATATGAAATGCACAGTTCTTCCAGAAAATTGTGTTAAGTCGAATTTTTTTGAAAGGAAAAATCAGATTAAATCTCCCAGAGGCACTGGGTGATAATATCCTGATACTGCACATTTTAAAAAACATTTTGATAAAGGATAACCCACTAGAGTGGCCCCAGAATGTGATCTGAGGGCATATGATGGCACCTTGTTAAAGATAAGGAAGTCACAGGTCTGCTCAATGCCTGGGTGGGGGATCATGGAAACACCCTCTATGACAGAAGAAAGGTAGGATATACATGCATGAAACAAATGTATTATGGAATATTGTTTACTGAATCATATATTTTGTTTCCAAGGGAACATCACATGGAGAGGCCTGCTTCAGCACACCATGCAGAAGCAGAGAAAGCCACATTGTTCTGCCGAACTTGCTTACAGTAAGTATTGCAAAGGAACTATTAAACTATTCTGTTTGTTCCATTTACACAGGCATATTATCCTCACCTTTTTTAGCAGCCTTTGGTCTTGTCTGCCTTCTCTCAGATTCTAAAGAAAGAAAAATATTAACATTACCATGGCAACAAAAAAGCGAAATACAGAGAATGCCCAGCTGTTTTCACTAGTGCCACCCCCCCCCCAATGGGTTTCCATGGCCAAGCAGGGATTCAAAATGAGACTTCTTGAGTCTTAATCCATCACTCTGCCTGCTACATCATACTGGGCACCACATTACAGAAACTGTGCAAGTGTTGAAAAAGATTCCTGGCCTTCCTATTTGTCCAGTAAAGCCCTGTGGTGATGTTCAGCTGCTTGTCGTTAAGATTAAAGCTGGAAAAGGAGAAGGGAATGTGACTGCAAGCTCTACACACAAATATTGTGGCACATCTATAGGCATGTCTTCCTTTGGTATGTTGTGCATAAAAGGTGTGCAGAGGGCTCTGTAACCGTATTGCACTGAATGAAGTTAAGGAACTCTCACGATTGGGAACTCAGGAGGTACAAAGGTTCTCAGTCATGGGAGTGTTATGTTTGAACCAAGCAGGTTTACAAAGCCCTCTGCATTAAGGTTTACCACTCCTCTAGCTCTGTGTGTGCCCATTACTGGTATTAACCCTACACACGGGAGGCAAACAACTGCACAGGACATTATTCACATTAATGGAATGTACTTGCAAGGCACACAACTGACACCTTGTCAATTAAAAACGGTGGCTTCCACAGTTGTTCATGCATGGAGGATTTTGCCCCATGTGAAGAAAGTGGCATGGTGGCTTCCACAGCTGTTCATGCATGTGCAAAAAGCTCAATAGGATTTTGCCCCATGTGAAGAAAGTGGCATGGTAAGGGCAGAACCACAACACTCCCTCATCCTTTTATGTCTACTTTAAAAAATCTGGAGTCTCACAATCATGCAATGAAAAAGCATAGCCAACCCATTTGTCAAATTCATGTGGAGTCTCACAATCATGTAATGAAAAAGCATAGCCAACCCATTTGTCACACTCATATTTAGCTGTACTACAATGACCTAAAGGTTAGCGCTGGTATAGCTCAGGACTGAAGCAGGTTTATATCTTTTCCTTCTTGTGAGCTCTTATTGCTTTTAATTAACAGGAACTGTGCAGACAGTCCATCTTTCTTCCTTAATAGATCTTCCCTAGAAAGAAAGAAAAGACTGAAAAGGAAAGGAAAAACACAGCAGCTGTGCAAACTGAAGGTGATATCATCCGAATCCACTTCAGACTCCACTGAGTACCTCTTCTGAAGCCACCACCAAAGTGTTGCCCAGAAGTGTCTTATGTTGGGCACGTCAATTCTTTTTTTTCCCTATGTGTAAACCATGCCTGTTACTTATGAGACTGAAAACGAAAGGAAAGACACAGCAGCTGTGCAAACTGAAGGTCATATCATCTGAATCCACTTCAGACTTCACTGAGTACCTCTTCTGAAGCCACAACCACAGTGTTGCCCAGAAGTGTCTTATGTTGGGCACGTCAATTCTTTTTTTTCCCTATGTGTAAACCATGCCTGTTACTTATGAATAAATTAAATCCCATTTAGAATATTTAGTGGATCCTGTGGCATGCTTTCAGGGATTACTTCTACAAAGGTCTCCCTCATGATACTGGTTGTATCTTTGATATAAAGTTTTCCCATCTACAGAAATAGGGCTGACAGAGAATGGTGTCAGGGGCACAGACTGAATACCGTATTTTTCGCTCCATAAGATATACCTTTCCATAAGACGCACCAATTTTTTAGGAGAAGAAAACAGGAAAATATAATCTGTTTTCTTCGCTCCATAAGACGCACAGACTTTCCACCCCCGTTTTGTGGGGGGAAAGTGCATCTTATGGTGCGAAAAATACGGTACTTTTTGGATGATGACAACAATTATTAGACAGGAACACTTGTCTTGGAACAAATCAAGGGTATTTGTGCATTTCCACTGCAACCATGAGGTATCATAGGTTGCTCATGGAGTAGAACAACAACCCTGCAAATATCTCTTGTTAAATCTGGAATTTACATTACATTAGGCATGTCCTATGGCCCCAGCATCACTACTTTTACATTAAAAAAGACAAACAGTGTATCCTGTCCGCATATTTCAGTCTATAACCTGGCCTTGCAATTTGCATTTCCTTATTTGCAGGTATGGAGCACTGATAAATGGAAATGTGCAAACGCTATCATGGACTTAGGCCAGAGTCAAGCCAGAGCATTGCCAAAAGACCACAGGATAGGCTAGTTGATCTGTTGCCCTGTATTCAAGCAAAGAAGAGGTTGGGGGAGAGTGGAGGCTCAACCCACTCCATGATGGCAATAATAAGGATAACTGGAGAGCTTCCTAAGTGACAGAGAGGTGGTATTCAACAGACTACAACTCCCATCACCAATAAACGTTGGCTATGTTTAGCTAGACTTCATGGGTGTTGTCATGTAACACTTGATGGATGGCCACATTCCTTGGCCTTAAATTGTGATTCAAGGCCAAAGAATGCAATCCAAAGTAGCGCTTAGATTTATGCAAGACGTTCACAATGGCCCCACATAATTTATGACTTTTTAGTTGAACAACAGGCACTATCCACTCCAAATTATCAACCACTTTGCTTTCAAAAAGAAAAGAAAGAAAAGATCTCTCTTGAGAAAACAAACTTGAGAATGAAATCTAAACACATGTACTGTATAAGGTAACAAGCCCCTTTCTACTCAAATGGACTTGCTTCCTTTCCTTTCAAGTAAATGTGCAGAAAATCATGCTGAAACACTGCAAAAACAAGTACACACCAAAGAAAGCTGAAATCCTACCAAATTAAATTGGACGTACTTCTGAAATGAGAGTGGGCTGCAGATCCCCCTTGGATTCACAGAAAGAGTTACATGACCCTTTAGATCTTGGCCAATCTATCAAACTAAACTAATATGCAAATATGTGGTAAATGGATCTCATTCTAGATATCCAGTATCTAAAGTTTGTGCTTGGTTTGAGTCTTGAATTTAGCTGCAGTGGTTTAGATTTAAGGCACGTGAAAGGGGAAGCAGTTCTTCCTGGTTCATTCTCCCTCTGTTTCATTGTCCCTTCTGAAAAGCTGATCTGGCTGGCTGGGGTATACTCTGGAACAGTGAGAGAGACGATGGAGAATGTCGAACGAAGACAAGAATGGCAAAAAATTTTCTCCTGCCTCCTCCAGTGGGAGGCTTTGAAGGATCTTGGTTCCATCTCTAAAGATAACCATTCTTCTCATGGATGGGAGAATCTGGGTCTAACCTGGTATAGATTTACACTCTCAGAATGTCTTGTTTTGCTGCATTTGCTGAAAATCAGATCCACAAATCCACCCACAAAAGGCAGGGGATGGAAGTTTCCTACTTGTGGACTGCCTTAGGCAGGAATGCACCTGGCAACATAAATCAGGCTGGACTATCAGAAATCACAGCCACTTCCATACTTAAAGAAACAACAGGATATGCTGTGTAAGCCACTAAAATTTCCAAAGCCCACTCTCTGGCCCCTCCCATTCTGGCTCACATACCAAGTCATATTGGAATCATATAGGAATCTGTATTTAATACATACTGGAATAAAACACTTTACCTGGGGGAGCTGTATGTTTGTATTCCAGCCTGTGCTGTGGATTTTTCCTGCAAAGAAAGGTGGATAATACAATGATGTATAATATAATAATATAATATAACCTACCCATCCTATGTGGTGGCACTGTGGGCTAAACCGCAGAAGCCTGTGCTGCAGGGTCAGAAGACCAAGCAGTCGTAAGATCAAATCCATGTGACGGAGTGAGCACCTGTCACTTGTCCCAGCTCCCGCCAACCTAGTGGTTTGAAAGCATGCAAATGCGAGTAAATAGGGACCACCTCGGTGGGAAGGTAACAGCGTTCCGTGTCTAAGTCGCATTGGCCATGTGACCACGGAAGATTGTCTTCGGACAAACGTTGGCTCTATGGCTTGGAAATGTGGATGAGCACCACCCCCTAGAGTTGAACACGACTGGACAAAAATTGTCAAGGGGAACCTTTACCTTACCCATCCTATATTCTTTATAACTTGATGCTTTATGAACACTGAACATTATAAAAGGGGATTAACCTTGAAAAATCAATCATTTTGTAACTTCAAAATATTAAAAGTAAGACTTGCCAAAAAAAGACAAAACAAAAGCTTTTCATCTTCGAAAGAGAGGACAATTACAAGTGGTTTAATCAAGCTGGCACTGTTTTCTCATTTTCAGAGAAAGAACATTTCAGCATGAACTATCAGAAGCAAACTTGTTTTTCATTTATATATTTAAGTGTCTAGCAGTGCACACATCCACTGAAACACAGAATGAAACATTAAGGTGTAAATTATACAATACAATGGTTGTTTTTAAAACAAAGAAAATGGGGGAAAATGAATGTTTATAAGTCAGTTTGAATGTGAGCCAAGAAACCATACAATTTTGCTGTTTTCCACCCCAATCCAAAATTCCATGTAATGATCATTGCCAAAATAGTCTTATTTCAGGGTTGCTTCTCTGTAACATGTGGTTTTTCAAGAGTGGCCTACCATGTGGTGCTTTTTCAAAATTCTACAAGCATAAAAATTCATGAGAAGAGGAACCTACACCATGGATAGTGCTGTCCTGGTTGTAGAAGGAAATCACTATCCTATAGACACTATGCACAGAACAATGAAGTTTAGCTGGTTGGCTGGGATCGCCCACTCTGCAGTGTGCTGTACCATCCTTTCTTTGCTTTAAGATATGGTAGATTTGATTTAAATCACAATTTAATTTTTTTAAATCATTTTTTAAAATTTAAATTGTGACTCGAATCAATCTGAGATTTAAAAATCATTTATTTTTATCCACCTTGCTTGAAATGTAAAGAAAAACAAAAGACCAGTGAAAAAAGGAAAGAGGAAGAAAGTTAAGCAGAAGAAGGAAATTCAGCAGATGTACCTCCTCGCCCATATAAAAAAGTTGTTTGTTAAAGTTAGTAAGGCAAAGGTAGGAAGTGTAAAAACACTGGAAATTAATGGGTGAGAGTATGTAAGGTACAAATGTCACCTCATGCATTAGTATATCAAATGATGTATTCTTACATCTTTTTAGACAACTGAATCTTGAAACCACTTTTCATGGTTATGCCATCTCAGCAAGTCTGCTTGCTTCTGCTTTTTAAAAAAATAGAACTGAGTTTGACTATATTTTTTACCCCACCCATACCCACTCTTTCTACCTAAATATTTAAAGAAATTATCTTTAGCAGGCAGTATTTTTACCTGTAACAAGAAACTCCATAAGGACACTCAGGTCTGTTATCAGTATCAGCCTGACTCACAGCTTCTGTGACATAATAATCGCTATCACCAGGATGGCTGAATTGTTGAAAGTGTATGGGATTCTTCCTGTGAAATTCAGAAATAAATGATAATATTAACGTACACTATTCTGTATATAATGAGATGTGATTCACATAAGTTCTAGAGAAATGCAGTGCAATAAACTAACCAAGTACATGAACAGTAACTGCTATCAAGGTCAAAATAATGTCATTCAAAGAAAGCCCTCAGATCACTATAAGATTATAAGACCCCTTGGTAGTTTGAGTCTGTAGTGGTCCCTCACAGTTGGCAGTTATCTCCAAATGTGTTAATTCCAGTGTGAAATCAGATAATCTTTTCCAAACACATCAATGCTCCTTTGGCTATCACGGTATAATCAGTTTCATTCCTAAAATGATTCCAAGCAACATTAGCATGTTGATTTCTACAAACTTTATTCATCTACACCGTTTCTACATTCTATAAACATAAATTTAATTCAAAGCTGTTGAAAACGTGGGACATTCACCTCCCTGAGGCACCTACGTTTTGTGCCCTCACAAAGGTTCCAGTCGTTTTCCTTTCACTGTCACTAGTGGATCACCTCAATCCACAAAATAAATGACGTTTGATCAGACACTTGTATGGTGAATGCAAACAAAACTTTTTTTATTAAAGTGAAGTAAATTTAATAATCACAGAAGTTCTTCAGATATACACACAATACTCTTGCCATATAATTTCCACCTTCTCTATCTATTTATCTTAACCAGTCTCTAACTCAATCTCTATCTCTTCTAACTCTCACTGCCTCCTCCTCTCAGGCTCCACCTTTTAACCTCTCTAACTCAGTCTCTATCTCTTCTAACTCTCACTGACTCACTCCTGTCTCTTGACTGACTCCCTCCTCCTCTCAGGCTCCACCTTTTAACTTCTCTCTCAGCTCCGCCTCTCCACCACATTTGCATAGAACATGAATAATACATGACTTATACCTAACAAAGGGTGAATGCTACAACATGTAACTAAGGTTCCTGCTAAGCTGGGCACGACTCCACTTCCTTACGTACAGATCTCTTCCTTCTCCGTGCGGCGATCGCATTAGGTTCTGGTTTGTGGAGGCGGAGTTGCACACACATGCTCACTTCCTTACGTACATATCTCTTCCTTCTCCGCGCGGCGATCACATTAGGTTCTGGTCATGCCGGAACCCAGTTTGTGGAGGCGGAGTTGCACACACATGCATGGATGAAGCTGTGTGTGAGAGAGGCAGAGCCCCGCCCAGTGGGGCTGAAAATTAGAGAGTATGTTGCATGTAACTTATTAGCAGTTACAGGCATTACTTCAAAAACCTTTTGAATGAAGACCTGCCAAAACTGGAAATATGTGTTCATACCTGTTGGAACCTGTGATCAGTCTGGCCGCTGCATTGTGGACCTGCTGAGGTTTCCATACAAGAGCAGCCCTACACAAAGAATGTTACAGTAATCTATTTTGCAGATTCCCAGCACACAAACCACTGGGGTTAGGAAATTCTTCTCCAGATAGGGGTGCAGCCAGGCAACCAGCTAATGTTGATAAAAAAGTTAACAATATGACCAGCCAATTTTACTTTACCATCAAGAAAATGTGGCATTGTATAGAAACATGTCCTCATCCCTGACTCCATTTTTGAACAAGGGAAATAACACCAACCATAGAATCACTGATTACTTCCATGAATTATGAAAACTGTCTATTTATTTCTTGCCTCCACTTCCTGTTCTAACTTCCTTCTAGCTCTTTAACCAATTATCCATCCACAAGAGAAAGACATCCTTTTCTCCCATGATGGCTAAGTATGCTTAGCAGTGGTTGCTAAGAAACTCTGGCTGAGAAGTGAACATCAATAATAACAATAATAATAATTTATTTAATTTATATGCCGCCCACACTACCCAGAGGTCTCTGGGCGGCTTACAACAATTAAAATTCAATACAGTAAAAGATAAAATAATTAAAATACAATTAAAATTGCCATCGGACCCACAGCTAATACTCCCCATTTACAAAGAATTCCTACCATTAAGGTAGGACCACAATGACTCAGGAAGGGTTTTTTCTTTTGAGACATCCAGACTGAAGTCCCCATGAGCCAGGGCTAATTGCTCTCTTGCAACCTGACCTATCTCACTGAGCTGTTAAGGAGAATAAAGTGTGAAATGCAAGAGCTATGCATATTGTCTTAAACTAATTAAAGGAAAATCATCTTATAAGTTGAAACCAGAAAGCTCAAAATAGGTTACCCATTCATAATGCTTTCTACCAATATATTAGATACAGAAGTTAGGGTAACAATCGCTCATACCTTCCAGATTTTTTTTTTTAAAGCCTGAAGTCAAATTGGCATCTTTCTATTCCTCTGATTAGCTTTTTTACATAATTATGTCATATATTTAGTTAAAAGTTCACCTCAACATTTAAGTGTATCTCAAGAGGATATACTTTTGATTTTATGAAATGCATCTGCCTTTTCAGCATTTATCTGATGCCACAGAAAATCACAAGCTAGATAAAATAATTCATGGTTTACTGGGGGGGATCAATTGAATGAACTATCTGCAGATCTTTCCTACTGTGACAGAGTGCCATTTGTCACTGCTGAAGTAGCTGTGACAAATTAAGGTTGATTCAATTGCTGTGATTTGTTCACTCGTTCCTTTCGATAAATATTTATTATACAAAGTAAGATGTGCATTTTGCTCTTGACCAACTCATTTTACCTTCATAGCCTCCACTAAATCTGATTTACAAAGCCACAGGCATCTCCAAGATTTGGAAAATTAACAAGAGACTGTATCTGACATTCTTATTGAAAAGTAGCCCAATTTATTCTCTTACAAGCATTTTTCTTCATTTACTTACAGGCAATACTGGGAATTTAGAATAAATGCAGGCTATAAATTCTCAACAATGTCTACCTTCGAAAGGAAAAGATGAACATTATTACCTGCCTGTCTCACAAGTAAAATGTAGGAGTGGGATGCACAAGCTCTCTGGTCCTGCTGGCCACATCCAGTCTTGGCTAGGGGCCATGTACAGTGGTGCCTCGTTTAATGGGCACCCTGTTTAATGATGAATCCGCATAGCGATGAAGATTTTGCGATCACTTTTGCAATCGCATTGCGATGTTCTCTATGGGGAAAAATTGCTTTGCGATGATGGCTTCCCCCCCATCATCGCAAACGCCCCATTTCCGCACAGCTGATCGGCGGGGCACGCGATCTTCGCAAAGGCCCCGTTTCTTGCGAGGAATCCGTCCCAGAAAAGAGCCGGGAGCCATCTTCTCCGCTCCAGTCCCTCCCCCTCCCAGCCTCACAGCTGATCAGCGCTGGTCTTAGAAGCTTCCCCAGGCTTGCCCAGCAGGTAAACAGGCAGTGGAAATGCACTGGTGAAGCCTCTGAAACCTGCGCTTTGCCGGGGTGTGGGTGGGTGGGGTGTGGAAGCCTCCTGGGGCTTTTTCAGCAGTGAATGAGGTGCATTTCAGCAGTGAAAGAGGTGTCTTCATTTACTTACAGCCAATACTCTAACACAATAACATTTGTTTCTGAAGAGGCAGCTCTTCTGCTCACACCATTTTAATTAAAACTACCATTTTAAACATAAAAGCTTCTTCAAGTTGCATTACTAGCATCAGCAAGTTGCGTGAATCCGGCCATTGAGAAAATATATAATTTTTAATTTAATTTCTCACCTGTAGCAGCTTCTCCCATACTGACAAGCTGTCCTCTGATGTCTGGGGATGTTTGAGCTTTGTGATACACCTTGACTTCCAGCTAAATTAGAAACGTCTCTTTCAGTGGCTTGATTCAGAGCACGATCTTGAATCTCGCCCTGGTGAACAGAGGAGGCTGATGCTTCATCTTGAGAATCCCACTCAGGTTTAGAGTTAATACTCTCCAATCGATTCCCTGTTCTTCCTGTTCTAGTGGACTGGCAAGTCTGTACATCTAGGTTAAGGCCAGGCTCCTCATTCTCAAGCAGACGGTTACATCGCTCTGCAGAACTTTCAGTTCCTTGGGGTACACTTCTGCTTTCAGCCTTTTCTATTCTTTCCACATCAGGTTTAATCGATGTTCCCTGTACATGCTGTAGAAATAGGAAGTGAATTTCTTCATGAAGCAGATTTTTTGTTCTTAACTGTTTGTATAAGAGCTGAACATGGTGAAAGTATCTTAATCCATCAATGTCCATGATCCTTAACAAAATAAACACAACCTACAATTCAAACTAGCAACCAGGGTGATAAAAAGGGTGGGGAAGTGAGAGGTGGGGCTATTAGAAGATTAACCTGCATATGTAAAATTATACGCTTTAAAATACAAGCACAGCTGAGAGAGAGGATAAATTGGTTAAACTGCAGGTCTGACAAAAGGTATTGAGGAGGGACTTGATGAGTAGAAGGAGCAGGCAAAACCTTCATACCTGAAGAGAATTCAACAGAGTGGGAAACAGGTGTGAATGGGCAGTAAGAGAGAGAAAACTATCCATCAGGTTAGGCAGCAATACACCTTGTGAGCAGACAAAGATAATAAAACCATTAAAAATTAAGGAGATCAACACGGGCAAAAATAAAAAAGCCCAAAGGGAAGCATGGAAGAGTGAGGGACACCTCTGAAGTGAGGACATGAAATTTGCGGAAGGGCCTTCCCATCTTCTGAGCCAAAGGAATGGAGTATCACTGGGACAATACAGTTCTGAACAGAGGTACAGTATGAGAAGTACAAAGAAAAAGTGGGTCACAATAATCACAATGTGTCAGGGGTTAGAACAGGGATGGCCAGAGTATGAATCATGGCTTTAGCCATGGAAAATGAGAAGGGGGGGATATTTCTGCAGAGGAAAAACAAAATACTTAATAAGATTGAGTCTACAAGCAAGAAGGGGAAATAAATGATAACGTTAAGGGGACAATGGATGATCAACTAGGCTGTAAGAGAAGGCCAACTGAGAGCAGAAGGAGAAGATGATTTTAAAGAAAAGATAAACAGTTCATGCTGTGTTTGAGATGGATATAAAATACATGCAGATTTCAGATACAGGAGAAGGACTTGGACAGTCAAGAAGGGTTGGAGACACAGGTTATTATTGTTTGGTGGAAATCTTGTTGCCCAGTGAAGTGTTACTCTAGTGCAATTTACTACACTAAGCAACAGGAGTTCAGCCAATGTCATTAGAATATTGGTAGTAGTGAGAACTGTGGGATAGGATACAGCTACCTAAGGAAACAGTATACAGTACATAGCATAGGTGAGCAAAGTAGGTGAGGCACAGAATGGGGCTGCTCAGGACATTGTAACAGTGCCTAACACCTCCAAACCAATATTTTTTTAAAGGAAAATTGATACTGTATTTCCATTCCTGGAAATCTGTAGGGGCAGAACGTTGGGGTTTAACAAAATCGGAAGTAGCTGTCAAAACATATCCAGATATTTAGTCGGGGGGGATTTGGTGGCAGTTCTGGGCATCCTAAAACTGATGGCAACTGCTGGGGAAGGTATGTGGCTCCCAGGTCTGTCAAGATTTCCCACCCCAGTACAGAAAATAGTAAGAGACCAAGAACAGAAGAACTCCAATGCAGAAAAGAAGGCAGAGGAAAAGCTCTAACTGCTGTGCCAGCATAAATGCTGTACAAGAAACCTAGGTAAGGAAACCAGCTGCAGAAAAAAGTTGGGGAAACTTAAGGTATGGAGAAAGTCATACAGGAAAGGCTGATCAACTGTATCACAAGTAGCAGAGAGGTTGAACAGGAACAGATGAAGTAAAGACCCTTGGATTCAGTGGCATGATCATCTGTAATTCTAGCAACGGTAGCTTCAGCAAGGGAATGTTCTGTTCAGCAGTTCGCAGTGTAAGTTTTCTTATGTAGAGAAGGTACAGCAATATATTAAATGGAAAGAAAGAGAATTTACAAAATGAGAGATGAAAATGGAATCCCCCTTACTAAAGTACAATTAATAAAAAAAATTCCATCACCCATATTAAGTAATTATGAATACCACAGTAAAATAAAGTGTGGCCAGAAATATGATCAAATTTGAATGTATCCTATGAAGGATACATTCATATCCTATGAAGAAATAGATACCAACAATTTACTTGGTATCCATTTCACTAGATATATGTGAATATATTTTAGATTTTTTTGCTTGTTTTTTTGTTATTCATATGTTTATGAAAACATATGAATAACAAAAAAAGCAAAAAAATCTAAAATATATTCACATATATCTAGTGAAATAGATATCAAGTAAATCATAGACTGAAAACAAGGTAGAAAGATGATATTGGGATAAAAATAGAACAAATCATATAGAACAAACTAAGGATAACTCAATCAACAACCACAGCAATAATCCTTAGGGAAAACGCCTTACTATTATATCAATGGTATATTATGCCGGGATACATAGTGTGGTGCACTGTTTTTAGTAACAATTTGAGGAGAACAAAATGAAAAAGTAGTACCCATACTGTTTATGATGTGAGCTCATAGGGCAATGCCAAAATGCTGGAATTCTTGCTGTTAAACTTAATGCTGACAACCTACCAAACATGTATTAAGAAATGTGACAAGCTGGCAGGGCAAAAAAAATGTACAGTTCAGCTTAGAGCAGTTAAAATAATGCTAAAATATCAGATTTCGAAGAAATATAGCATGACTTTATTTTATGTAGAAATCAAAAAGGTATTCAACATCTACCTAAACCTTTCCTCAGATTATGGAAGAATTAAGTGCACTTAATTATTTTGTTTCCCCCAAAATAAGACAGGGTCTCATATTAATTTTTGCTCCAAAAAACACATTATTGCTCATTTTCACGGGATGTTTTTTTCATGTACAACATTTATTCAGATACAGCCCTGTCATCTTCTTCTGGTTGCTGAACAATGGTGGAGGGCAGGGTTTCACTCAACGGGGGCTTATTTTTGGGGTAGGGCTTATATTACGAGCATCTTTAAAAATCATACTAGGGCTTATTTTCAGATTAGGTCTTATTTTGGGGGGGAATGGTAATATAAAATTTTTTAAAGAAAATATCTATTTTTATTTATTTATTTGTAATGGCAAGACAGATTCAAACGCATGTCAATTATTTTGTGTTTGTTTTGGTTATGACCATTGAAATGGGTTAGCAAGGCCATTTCAGTTCTGTGTGATTTCAAACTCCACCCTCACCGAAGAATTTTGTCAGTTCCACCTACAAACCAGAAATTGTTATTGCTGTTGCCAACATAATTGGCACTGGTTGAAATTCTAAGCATCTTTACTTCAAATAAATCCAATTTAAATTAATCAGTGTACTTCTACATTTAAAAGTGAGGCTGCGCAACTCACTTAATTGTCCACCCACATATGTCCGTGCTTTAGAGAGTGGTTTGAGCTCCTGATCTGGAAACAATTCTGTTTCCTCTCTGGCAGCTTACCAAAAGATTGAGCTACACTCACTACTGGCAATTTGACTACATATTTGGAAGGATGTCAAAATCCATAGTTGCCTATCCCAAGTATGATAACCAGCTGGAATCAACTAGTCTAGCCATGAGACCAGATGTCCAAATGGGACAGATGTATTTCTCTGGCAGCAATGTGTAAATCACTGAGTCCATTGAGGAAGACCCTGGTATAAACTATCTTAAAAAGAAACTAAAATTATGCTGTCCTTCTATTAAGCCCTGATTGTGGGGGGAAGTTAAAATATTTTATTTCCAACTATTGAAAAACCATAAACATTGAAAAAGCACCAGCCAGCTATAAGCCATATTGGATAAAGACAAGAAATCCTTCTTCTAATCCCTGCTGGTTCAGTTATCTAACAAATATTGACAGAAACATCACTGCAGCAAAACAGTGACAGTAGCTTTACAATAAAGTATGAGCCTGCTTAGACTTGGGTAAACAATGGTGGCTTGCCAGATATTTTTGGATTACAAGCCCAGTCACCCCCTACTGTTGGTTGTGTTGCCTAAAGCTGCTGGCAGATGCAGGCCAAAAACAGTTAGAAGACCAGTTGCTTGACACTGACGTAAGACATACTATCATGATTTAGTACTGTATGAACCACCCTGAGAACCTCTGGGTTCACATGCTTTCTCCCCTCCCTCTCCCCTCCCAACAATTTCCATCCTTGCTTCCAGCTTACCACAATATATTATTTTGCTCAAAATAAAACTTGCTCCAGAATAAGGAAATTGTTATGCATAAGAGGCTAATAAGGTGGTAGGTTCCTCAGAACCCAATCTTGTGCTTCTGAACAGGCCAATCTCTTTGACTCAAGGGTGGGTATGGAATCACAGTATTGGAAAGGATCGTTTTTCTAGGCAGTCTGTTTCACTGTCAAACAGCTCTTCCTGTAAGAACTTTTCTCCTAATGTTTTGTCACAATCTTCTTGCAATTTGAATCCTATCCTTGGGGGCAGAAGTTTGTTCTTTCCTTCATGACAACCCTTCAGATAGTTAAAGATGGCTCTTTCACCAAATCTCACACTTATCTCTTCTAAGTGAAATATAAGCAGCTTCATGAACTTTATGAGGAATCCCCACTCATACATTTTGTCCTATCCCAGCTGAATCAGCTGCTGTGCCATTGTGATGATAGGTTTTTTTAAAAGTCTCTATACATCTTTAAAACAAGGCATATAGAAAGCATGCACCTTGTTCTCAAATAAAGTTGAACTTCTAGGCTTCTAGAAATACATTTTGCCTTAAAAATATGATGCATGCTCCTCGTATATCTTATTTAAATCAACAATGGAGGAACAAGGTGACACTATAGCAAATGTGATAATACAGTGGTGCCTTGCTAGACAATGATAATTCGTTCCACTGAAATCGCTTTTTAGCGACATCATTGTCTAGCGAAAAGCATTTCCCCATTGGAATGCATTGAAACCTGTTTAATGCGTTCCAATGGGGAAGAATCGTTGTTGTCTAGCAAAGATCAGCCATAGGAAAGCCACTTTGTGAACCACCAATCAGCTGTTTAAATAGCTGTCTTGCAAAGCTTAGGTCCCGAAAACACCCATTTTGTGGGCATGGAGGGAGCTGTCAAAATTGTTGTCTAGCGAAAATTGGTTTGCGAGGCAGGGACCAAACATTCTCCAGCGAAATTCCCTCATTGAAATCACTGTTTTGCAAATTGCTATAGCGATCGCAAAAAGTCAATGTCTAGCGAAAAAACTGTCATGCGGGGTATCTGTCTAGCGAGGCACCACTGTACCTTGTGTAAGAAACAGCCTGGGTGGGTTCAGAGATAATGCATACCTCAGTAGTTATCCTCTGCTACTTAAATGAGACAGATTATACTATACTTCTGATTCCTTCTTGTCATGAGACGCTAACATGGGCTGAACTGCAGGGCTGCCAAGCTGTTCAGCATACCAAACCCTATCCAATGCTTAATCCATATCTGGACACACAACAACCCTGCATGTAGCACAGCCCTGGCAACATACGTAAGACTCATTCAGGCACTTGGTTGAACATGTTTATATGTAGGCATCCTTCAGTCTTGAGAGACTATGGTAACGTGCTCTAAACAGAGGTCTTGGAACACCATCTAGTGTGGCTGAGAAGGCCAATTCGAGAGTGACAATCCCTCCCACACAAACACAATCTGTCCGCTGTCCAGCTCCCTGATTTTGCTGGTTTCGGGACTGCCTCCTTGCCTCAGCCTGCTGAACAAGTGTCTCTTCAAATTCAGATAGACCATGCTTTACCGCCTGCCTCCAGGCTGAACACTCAGATGTCAACATTTGCCATTCTCACAACACGCCCAAGTCAACAGAGATGTTGTTTACGTCTTGAACATATGAAGGGCTAAATGGGTGGTGGAAACATGAACACATGTATAAACCCCACATCTCCCAGTGTCCACACACATATTGCAACATTGCAGACCATCAGCCATTGAGTGTGAAGGTCTGGACTATATAGCAAGCTCTACTAAACTTCCTGATCGTGGGTGTTCTGGAAATATGTTCACCCAAACACTGCAAACTTTTCTCCTTAATATGCAGAGGTCTTAACTGTCAACACTGCTGAATACATGGGGATATCCAAGGGTTGAGCTCATGTGCATGCCCACATCTGTGTCTTAGGTACTATGGTACAGGTCAAAAGAAAGAAAGGGAAGGGAAAATGAAAACCAATACCTGTGTTTCAAGACCAGCTTCATTTTCAGTTATCTTCTTTTTTCCATGAGCTTTTTTAATCTTTTCACTATCTCCTATGAAAAAATGCAAATGACATTGAGGTGGAATGATGAAAAGTTCTACTTTACCAGTTTCTGCAAGAGAAGACAGTCAAGGAATATTATTTCATGCCCTAATCCAGCTGTATAATTCTCCTCCCCTCAGATGGCCAATGACAGCCAGTGCCCTATCAGAAGAATCTTTATGATTATATTTCATCGTTACTGCATCTGATTAATAGATCTTTGGGAAAATGTGTATGTATCCTGAAAAAAAATGGTCTATAAAAAGTTTCCAGCATGTGTCAAATCAGAAAGTTGATGCTTGACCTACAAAACTTTACAAATCTCCCAGGGGGGAAAAAAAAATCAGAAGCCTGTGTTTATCACTGCTGGTATTTATCCCACAAGGGTTAATTCTAGAATGAAACCAAACTACAGTATCTTTGAAAACCATGTCAACATTTGTCTGAGTATAAAAGTGTAAGTCTTTTCACTGAAAAAGCCTACACTGAAATACTTTTTGGCTGGGAAGAGGCACATATATATGTGTCCCTTTAGCTTTTGTACAAGGATCATATAGGTTTTTTAATTTTTCACTAACCAAAGATTTTTTAAAAAAACTTTAAAACTAGCACATTCTGACAGAACTGATAGGCTTATTGACTTACACCCTAGTATCACAGGTGAGTAACAGCATACCAATTGTCTAAGTAAGCACAGTAATACCAGTATGCAATAAAATTAGTATCTTTTTCTAGTGCAAAGTTTATCCTCCTGGAAAACAAATCCCGATGTTTTTATTATGCTGAATGGTGTGTATAGTTGCAAAATGGCCTTGATGACCTAAGTGTAGTATAAAACACTTGCTATTACAGATAATACCCTGTTTCCCCAAAATAAGACAGGGTTCTTATATTAATTTTTCCTCCAAAAATGCAATAGGGCTTATATTCAGGGGATGTTTTATTTTTTTCATGTACAACAATCCACATTTATTCAAATACAGTTATGTCATCTTCTGGTTGCTGCACAATGGTGGAGGGCGGAGTTTCACTTAACTAGGTCTTATTTTTGGGGTAGGGCTTATATTACGAGCATCCTGAAAAAACCTACTAGGGCTTATTTTCAGGTTAGGTCTTATTTTCAGGGAAACAGTATTTTGAGTAAAGACTGCAATAACTGAAACAACAGAAGGTAATAGGAATAAATTGCCCATTAATATTCAACAATAACATCGGTGTTCTCTTTGCCTTCTTCATAAAACACAGTCTAAAAACTTCAGATACAAAAGATAGTTCTCTTCTTCCCCTCTTGTATCTACTGACTGACCAAATTTAAATCACAACAAACATCTACATTTCCAGTTTTGGTCTACCAGATCGATAAGACAACAATGCCACTGAGCAATTGGATCAAATGAATCAAAGATATTTATACAGACAACTGTCATGAAAAAGAAAAACAACATTGCATGGTTCTTAGATTCTGTGATGCTTACTATCAATGGGCCATCTGCCAGCACTACATTGTGTTGTACTATCTAATAGCTGCACTTTAATTAGAAACTCATGCCTGAAAGGCACTTGCTTTTAAAAGCTGCATTTCTATTTGACAAATAATTATTATAATTTCTGCTGTTTTGACATTCAACAAAGAAACATAAAAGCTAGTAGCCATTTACATTGATAAAAATGCTGAAAAGTCTGAAAGCTTATTTTATGTAACAGTTCTGGTCTTTAACCTTTCTACAAAGTAACAAACAGTAATAATCTTAGACATTGGACACCACCCATTCGACCATGTATAATAAAGACGGATAGAAAATACTGAATAAATTTTGGGCATTACCTTTGTATCCATCAAGGCATATGTCCTAGATCTTCAACTTTGCTAAAAGAAGAATATAGGGAAGTAGACAAAGCTTTGAAGGGTCTGACAGGGAGGTCTGAACTCCTTAAGGCTACGATCAACAGGATTTGGAAAGGACAAAGTGCTCTCCCTTGCACAGCCCAAGATTCTGCAATTGTGGTTGACAAGCCACAATTGCAGAAAGGTAGACCTTGAGGGACAAGAGAGAAAAACTTTTAGTTTTTAACTGCAATAAAAAAATAAGACAGTGGTAAGAGAGGAGTTGGTTGAGGAAAAAGATGACGCTGCAGTAAAAGCTTGAACTTTTTTTCCCTTTATACATATAGGCCTTCCTGGTTGAAGGTTTCTTTGCATGATGAATGACATTCATCAGTGAGGCCAAATCCTCAACGCTGTGAGATGAAGAGCAGGGAGATCTGGGTGGAGAATTTGATTTTTCTTCTGTATGAGCAGGTGAGGTAGACGGGGCAGGTGATAAATGTCAGACAACAGCTAGTGGAGAATTGGGAACCATGGCTGTCGCAGCCACCATGGAGCTATTAGGACAGTATTGGGCCTGTCCTGCTGAAACCGGATTACAACTTTTGATCTAGCGTCCATTCATGGGCTTGAGATTTGTTTTGACTGAGCAAATCTGCCAGATTGTTGCGCATGCGCGCAAACGGGTGCCCCGCCATCCCTAACTGGTCTGTGCCGTTAAAAAGGTTGGGGAATGCTGGTCTAGGCGGCTATATGCATTGTTGTGAGACAAATGTGATGAGAGGGGCACCATTCCCATAAGTCAACAGTAAGGTATAAAAGGCCTGGTGAGTGAGTGTCCCCTCGTTTGAGAATCACGGTGGTGTTGTCTGTGGCTATTTGAACCATTTTGCCTACGAGATGGTTTTTGAAAGCTTTGAAAGCTTTTATTTGTGTTAAGACTTCTAGCTCGTTGATATGGAGGAGTTACTCTTTGTGACCACCGGGCATGGATTTGCAGGGATCTGCAATGGGCCCCCCAGCTGTTAAGGCTGGCATCTGTAGTAACCTGGATTTGTGGGAGGGGTTGTTGAAAGGGCCATCTCATCATCAGGTTATGAGAAGAGTGCCACCATGCAAGCTGGGAGGCGAGTTCTGTAGTGACTCGCAGCAACATATGTGATGAGTCTGTCAATGGGTTGAAAAAGGTTAGGAACCATGCCTGTAGTTATCTTATTTTGAGGCGAACATGAACTACACCATCATGGACACCACAGTGCCTAAAACACGTTGGACTGTTAAAGCAGATATGAGTGCATGAGGAGTGAAGGCATGTAGTAAGGAGATTAGATTGAGGCGTTTCTCTGTTGGAAGAAACATCCAAGCATGTTTGGAGTCTATCAATGCTCTTATATAATGAATCAGCCTTGTGAGTTTTAACTTTGATTTGTGTAGATTTACTGCAAGGCCGAGATCCTGGAGAAAAGACAAAGTGAAGCGAACGTCTCGTTATGCTTTGTCATTGATGTACAGGGAGATGTGAATTTTGTGAAGTTTGAGGTAAGCTGCCACAAGGGCCATGCATTTGGTGAATACTCGGGGAGCTGTTGTGAGTCTGAATGGAAGTCTCTTGAATTGGTAGACCTGAGTTCCAAGTTGGAAGCATAGGTAGGGCCTGTGAGAAGGATGAATGAAGACATGAAAAATAGATCTTAGGTCTATGACTTCAAACCAGTCTTTTCTGTGGAGTAAGGGGAGGACAGACTCTAGGTTAACCATGCGGACCTTGGTGGTACTGATGTATTGATTTTGGCTCCCTGAGGCTGAGGATGGGGTGAAGGCCTCAATCTTTTTGAGGGATGGTGAAATAGTGAGAGAAAAACCTATGACTGCGTGTTGTAGTGGTATTGGTTCTATGGTGTCTTTGAGTAGTAACGACTACTTTTTGTAGAGTTGTGACGGTGAAGGAAGCTGGTGAAATTCGATGCGGTACCCATTTCTTATGATGGAGAGCACTCAGGCATCTGTAGTGATGTCTTTCCATGTAGGTAAGTGCTTCCAAAGGAGATGTGGGAGGTGATATTGGGATTTCAGCTGGTTGGATGTAAAACATGATGCTTAGGCTTAAGGTCATTGCACGTAGTTGTGGTTTGTTGGTGAGGTTTGGCTCGGTAAGGTTGTTGCTTATAGTAAGGCACATATTTGTCTTTGAGGTTCTTGTTGAAATTTTTGATGGGGGTATAAGGGCTGTGCCACTGATTGCACTGAGGGTGTTGCTGGTATGTGGGGTAGACTCCCAAACGCCTGTCAGCTGTCCTCTTTTTCGGAACATTCTCAATAATGTCATCAGTCTCAGCATTGAAGAGACCATTGAATGTGAGATCTTTAATGTGCGCACGTGTGGCCTCGGCTGGACCCGCGGTTCTAGGTCAAGATAAACGCTGAAGTGCTACAGAGATAGCCATTGATTTAGGCCATCAGAGAACGGGATCTCATTATCGCAGGCTACGCAGCTTTTAAATGGGCCTGAAAAGGACATGAACAGAGAACTGGTTTTGAAAAGAAAACAACAGAAAGGGGGGACACTTTGGCCTTAAGGCCGTATCTTGTTTTGAAAATAATAAGGATAATAATAAATAAAGTTCAATAACTTTCCTACTTTTCTTTGCAGATTTCTCACAGAAGCAATGATCGAGGCTCTGAACGTAGTGGTTGAAAGAAAACTGAAGGGAGAGCCTTGGCACCAAGGTACATATACCGGGGGGACGGGTCTATGCTAATGTATTTTCCTTTGGTATCGCAGAAGCTCTAGAATATTCCGACGAGGCTCTATGCATGTGTGGATTACCCATAGTGTGATTCACAGAGGCCATGAAGAAGAACAAAGACTTCTGCTGAAGATCTACCTCATGCAAGACAGATGGAGATTTTACCTCAAAAGATCTCTTAAGAACAACAGAAGTTCTTATATAACAATTGTAGGGTATTGAGGTTTTAATTATCTACAGATCTGTGATATAACCTAGAAAGTTTGTCAGATTATTTTGTTTTCTACCATAACCTTCTTGGGGGATGAGAGGCCAAAATTTCATCTGATCCATAACAATCTGAGAAGAGAGTGCACCAAACTGTCCTTCACATTAGGCTGGCCTTTTATTCCTCATACTAGACTAGAAATGCCTGTTAGCACACATGCAACAGGAACTGTGGAAGTTGCTGAAGCTAATTGATGTTGACTGCAACTGAAGTTCAGTTCAGAAACTGCTAGGAGTTCCAAATAAGGTGCTCTGAAATATGTCCATGAAAATTGGACTATAAGTATTTTTTTAAAAAAAAGGTTGAACTTTTTTCAGATCATGTCCATACACTTTTTAGATTATTCTACTGCCTTTCTAGTTGCTCACAGACAGCCTACACTGGTCAGGTGTAGACTAATGTTCCTGGACTGCACATTATCGACCTTGTCTCTCTTGATCAGCAAGGCAATATGAAGGTGAAGGAAAGCAGCTAGCCAACTTAGACAGCTTCAGTTTAAAAGGACAGTTTGGTCACCTGCATTATTTATTTAAAGTATTTTTTAACTTGCCTTTCTCCTTAAAAAGGACCCAAAGTGGCTTACAACAATGAAAAGACAGTATTGAAGCTAACAGTCAATATACAATATAGTGGTGCCTCGCTTAACGAGCGCCTCGCTGAGCGATGAAATCGCTTAACGAGGCGCTCTGGGCCATCGCTGGAGCATTCGCTCAGCGATGGCCCCTATGGCGATTTTTCGCTTTGCGGTATTCGGTAAGCGATTCGCTTAGCGAATATCGCATAATGAAGCGGGGAGAACAGCTGATCAGCGGTTCCAAAATGGCCACCGGAAGGTCCGCGCCGCATTTTCGCGCCCTGCCCTCGCTTACCGAGGGTGCGAAAATGGCGGCGCTATGGAGGAACATCGCTTAACGGTGAGTTTTAAAGCCATAGGAACGCATTGAACAAAGTTCAATGCGTTTCTATAGCTTTTTTAATTCCATTTAGCTATGTTTTGCTATAGTGAAGGTTAATCCGGAACGGATTAACCTCACTATGCGAGGCACCACTGTACTAAAAGGATCAAATGAATATAATATTAAAAAAAACATAAGCAACATCAAAAAACATTAAATGCAGTAAAGATGTAAGAACCTATTTTTAAAACCCCACTCAGCAGTCAGTCAGTCACTCAGAGAAAGCCTGCCTGAAGAAAAAGATCTTTGTGAGCACACACCCGCCCCTTTGTGCATGCGCGCAAACGGGTGCCCCGCCTTCCCTAACTGGTCTGTGGCGTTAAAAAGGTTGGGGAATGCTGGTCTAGAGAACATGGTAGCTGCTTTGCCAGTGAGTTTATCCAGCTCGATATCAGGGAGAGAGTGTCAGAAATCGTTGAGCCAAGGTACACAAAGTCATGAACAATTCTTGTGTAGAGACAGTGATAGAGGGAGGTGAGTCCACACCCTGGCCCATGACTTACATTAGAAATTGAAAGTTTATTTAAGCATTGTAACTGTCTGAAAATGCCTAATGCTTAAGCTTTAAAGCTACAATCGTAACGAAGCTACTTTATTTTCTTAATAAAAAAATATGCTTCAATTTCAACAGAGGACTAGTTTCTTGATCCAGCAGGACTATAACTAAATCCAGTGTGAATGAAAGAAGGCTAATAGTGGCTACTGTAAATAGAAGTCCTACTGTCCTACTTTACAAGACTGGTATGTATTCTAAGGAAACACATAGCCTATCATTGTCTCTTTAGGGAGGTGGGATTGTTACCCTATGCATTCACAGAAATGAGTCCTGTGCCTGCGGAGACACCATAAGTGAAATTTCCAGAGCTTCCAGCCTCAAGATTTTCTTTACCTAGCATCCACTGTGCATGCTCCCCCCCTCCACTCTCCTCAGTCCTGAACTGGCCTGTGATAGAAAACTGTATAAAGTTTGGCAAGATAGCAGTGGAGAGACTGGAGGATTATACAGTATGAGTGTACAGTTGACCACTTGAAGAATGACAGTTACAGGAGAGTAACCTGTCCTCCTTTGCCATGGTCTCTATGTTTCACACAAATGAGTGACTAAAAAGCAGAAAATGTAGGAGGTGGGACGTCAAGCCAAAATAGACGACAGTACTGCCCTACCAAAAGAAGCATCCCCCTGAGCCCTCAAATCTATTCTAGAGTAGCTCACAAATGTCAAGGCTAGGATCATGTTGCTGCTCCACATATCTCTTGAATGTCAACTCTTCTCATAAATGCTGTTGAAGAGGATACAGCTCTTGTGGAATGACCCTTTACATTTGACAGCAAAACTTTTCTTGCAGTTCCATAGGCTTATTTAATTACAGTGCTTCTACAAACCATTTGCAAAATCATTGAGAAGCCACTAGAGACCAATTATGGGACCTTTGTATCAAACAAAGAGTTTGTTGTTTTTCTAAATTTCTTAGTTCTGGACATATAAAAAACTAATGCCCTTTTCACTTCTAAGGTGTGAATTTCTTTCCCAGATCAGTTTGAGGCAATGGATAAAAAGCACTCCAAGAGGGTGTGACATATGAAATGTGGAAACTACTTTTGGTAGAACAATATATCTGTATAAAGTGTTAATTTGTCTTTGCTAAACTGAAAGTAAAGTGGATCACACATCAACGCAGTGACAGCAACTAAAAACACTTTTAAATGTTCCATTATCTGAGAACGCTTTTAAAGATGAGATTAATAAGCCCAATTATTTCAGATGGAACAGAAATGTTTAGTATTGTATTTATCATAGTTGCATTACTACTCTCATAACTGATGCTGCATATTCTACAAATTTATTCATTTATAAGACTATAGACTATTAGTTTAAGTGACAAAAGAGAATGCAGACCACACTGTAGTCCATTGTGAAGAATTTGTCCCTGGTTATGGGACAGAGACTGCTTTGGCTACCGTGATGACCTACACTGGGAGCTGGACAGGAGGAGTATGTCCTTGTTGGTTCTGTAGCTTTCGACACCATCGATTACGGTATCCTTCTGGGCCAACTCTCTGGCTCCAATCCTTCCTGGAGGGGAACACTCAGAGGATGGTGCTGAGGGACTCCTGTTACAGCAGCTCCACTGGCTACCGGTCCTTTATGAGCCTGCCTACGCACTGAGATCAGCAAAGGACACCTTTCTCACAGTTCCACCACCCTCACAGGTGCATTTGCGGAGACACTGCTCCCTCCCACGAGGGGGCCGGCTGCCCCGTCTTTGTTGCCAAGACCTTCCTCTTCAGGCATGCTTTTCCTCAGTTATCGTTTGAGAGAGTTTTTTAAAAAAAACAAACTATTATTTATTATTTATGCTTCGCTGTTTTTAAATGTATTGCTTTTAAATATGTTTTAATGCTGTTCTTATTTACTGTGTTAATATATTTTGTTTTGTTGTTCAATAATATAATATTGTTTCTTTTTTAATAATGTAAGCTGCCTTGAGTCCTTTTAGGAGGAAAAGTAGGACATAAATATTTTAAATAAATAAATGAATGAAATTTTCTGCCCAAAGAAGACCTGTTGACTAACTGCTGTGTTATATAAAAGAGGCTTTGACTTATAACAGGTGACAGGTCCATTGGCAAGTATAACTATATTTAACAAAATATAACCTACAAGAGGCAAGATATAGTTATCTCACATGCTGCCAGTTAGTAGAGCACAGCTCACTTGTGTTTTTAAACTATTGTCATCTTTCACCGTTCTGTTGCTTTACTCATTATTTTATTAACAGTTGTCTAGTCATGCATTCATGATGAACAAAAGTATATATTAAAAAGTAGCATGATTCCTATGGTACTGGTAGTATTTCATCACAGTGCTTAAGGTGTGTATAAAAGTTAATTATTCACAGCAGTCCCTATACTGATGCCTTCTTGTAGACTCTAACCCCGAAGTGAACTCCATAATCTCTCTGTAGCATAATATCTGTCATGTACTACAGTGCATTTGAAGAAATATGTTGACGTAACAAAGTCATCACTTCTATTGAGATAAAAGCAAGAATCACTGGATAAGAGCTGATGGGCCATCCATTCTAACACCAGTTATAACTTTAAATCCCCAGAGACTACCAGTGACCAATAGACAGAGCTAGAAAAGAATCGATTGCGCCTAAGCGTCCTCTCCCTGCTCAGTACAGTAACAAAGTCATCACTCTCTTCTATTGAGATAAAAGAGCAAGAATTACTGGATAAGAGCTGATGGGTCATCCATTCTAACACTAGTTATAACTTTAATCCCCAGAGACTACCAGCAACCAATAGATAGAGCTAGAAAAGAATCCTACTTGAAAACCTGGAGACCTGCTGACAGTTGAAGTTGACAACACAAGGCAAATTGGACCAAGACTCCAACTCAGAGCCTGGCAGCTTCTTACATTCCTAATACAGCCTATGATAGTAATAGTACAATTATACGAATTGTATATTTACAAAATTGTTTTCTACATAATTGTGCTAAAAGAAATTTAGCAAGGACCACAGTCGAGACTTCTACAGCAAGTGGTATGACATACCGACCTCTTTCAGGGACTGAGGCTGATGGGTTCTGCATTGTTACGTCTGTCTGCAGCATCCATGCTGGAAGTGCCCTTTTCCTTTGAGTAAAGTGCTGTTTTTCAGTATCACAAATGGTGGTAGAATGCTGAAAAAAAAATATCATGTCTCTTTCTGTGAGGTGCAAAAGGACAAGACAACGATGTGCAGGGGATTCAGTACCCTTCTTCCATGACTTCCATAATGTTCTGTACTCCCCTTGTTGGATTTTTGTAGCTTGCTAGGCATGGTATCATATATTCAAAGTAATACAAAGGAATCAAGTTCCCCCTTCTGCTATAGTTCTTGGAGCAACCATCTTTCCTTCAATCTTTTTGCATATACTGTACATCTTTAAAAAGCCATGGTTGAGGGAATATGTTTTCTTTACTTAAAAGTTTGGAAGATTTTCTTCATGCCTTCTGCACAAACTCTGTCACATTGCCCTTCTGCAAACATTTTGACAAAAGGACATATAGCTAATCTGCCAACCTTGGTGAATTTTAAATTACAGTGGTGCCTCGTTTAACGAGCGCACCATAGAACGACGAATCTGCATAGCGAGGGGTTTTTTTCGATCGCAACTGCGATCGCAAAGCGATGGCCCCAATGGACAAAACTCGCATAGCGAAGGTCGGTAAGCGTTTCGCTTACCGACCTTCACGTTGCTGCCCGCGGATCAGCTGTTCGGCAGCTCCAAAATGGCCACTGGAAGCCCCGAAATGGCCGCACGCAGCGTTTTCGCGCCCTTGCTAAGCGAGGGGAGGGCGCGAAAATGGCTGCCGGCCATAGGAAAACATCGCTGAATGGTGAGTTTTCGGCCCATTTGGAACGCATTAAACATCGTGTTTTCTTGATCCGTTCAGCAATGTTTTCACATAGCGAGGGTTAATCCGGAACGGATTAACCTCGCTATGCGAGGCACCACTGTAGTGGCTCAGCAAGCACAGTCATTGGGCATAGGTATCAACTGCACTATATTTGATGGAAAGCACTGAAGAACTAAGGTAAGAAAATCAAGGCTTGAAGGAATGAGATCTAGACTGAATGTGTTTTAGATAATTCGGCTACATGATTATTTCAAGTGCAAAGAATATAGTTTTCAGCAGTCCAGCTTCATGAGTACACTTCTAATCGTAGGTAGGGAATAAGGTGCATTAAGCCCAATGGTACTTAGTTTATGAGTCTATAAAAGTGCATTTCTAAGTTTCTGCTGCAGAGTGGCATTGCAGGTTTAATTTTCATATGTGACTTAACAACAATCCCATGTTGTTAATTTGACAGAAATGCAAGGCACACTGATCAAAAGAACCCCTAAGTAAGTTGCCACATTTCTGTAAATGTATTCACAACCGCATCATATAATATTTATCCATTGTGACCCTGCCTTAAAATCCATGAACACACCAATTTTTTTTTTTTAAAAATAACCCCTTCATGGATTACTGCCTTGTTATGGTGAAGGGGCTTGAGTAACTCAGGGAAGCTATGGGCTATGCCATGCAGGGACACCCAAGACAGACAGGTCATAGTGGAGAGTTCCAACTAAACACAATCCACCTGGAGGAGGAACTGGCAATCCACTCCAGTATCTTTGCCAAGAATGCCCCATGATCAGAAACAAAAGGCAAAAAGATATGACGCTAGAAGATGGGCCCCTCAGGTCGAAAGGTGTCCAACATGCTACTGAGGAAGAGCGGAGGATAAGTACAAGTAGCTCCAGAGCTAATTAAGTGGTTGGGCCAAAGCTGAAAGGATGCTCAGCTGTGGACGTGCCTGGAAGTGAAAGGAAAGTCCGATGCTGCAAGGAAAAATGCTGCATAGGAACCTGGAATGTAAGATCTATGATCCTTGGGAAGCTGGATGTGGTCAAACAGGAGATGGCAAGAATAAACATCGGCATCCTGGGCGTTAGTGAACTAAAATGGATAGGAATTGATTAATTCAATTCAGACGATTACCATATCTACTATTGTGGACAAGAATCCCGTAGAAGAAATGGAGTAGCCCTCATAGTCAAAAAAAGAGTGGGAAAAGCTGTAAAGGTAAAGGTTCCCCTTGACAATTTTTTGTCCAGTCGTGTTCGACTCTAGGGGGCGGTGCTCATCCCTGTTTCCAAGCCATAGAGCCAGCATTTGTCCGAAGACAATCTTCCGTGGTCACATGGCCAGTGCGACTTAGACATGGAATGCTGTTACCTTCCCACCAAGGTGGTCCCTATTTATCTACTTGCATTTGCATGCTTTCGAACCGCTAGGTTGGCGGGAGCTGGGACAAGCGACGGGTGCTCACTCCGTTGCATGGATTCGATCTTCCGACTGCTTGGTCTTCTGACTTTGCAGCACAGGCTTCTGAGGTTTAGCCCACAGCGCCACCACGTCCCTACTGGGAAAAGCTGTATGGGGATACAATCTCAAAAATGATAGAATGATTTCAATATGAATCCAAGGCAGACCTTTCAACATCATAGTAATCCAAG